GAGAGAGACCTCTGCTTTTAGTTTGTCAGGACCCGCCCTTGTTTTTTACGACCTACATGTCTGAGAGACTGAGAGAGAGAGAGAGAGAGAGAGAGAGAGAGAGAGAGAGAGCAGCAACTGATATTCGTCCGGAAGTGAGAAGAGAGAGACGTAAAAAGAGAAAAAGACCCTGACGACTTGCCGTCACCGAGAAATTATCGAGGGACCATCCTCTCAGATTGACATCCCTTCTTCCCCTTCTTCTCCCTTCTCCTTCCTCCCCTCCCCTCCCCACCCCACCTCTCTCTCCTGGTTTGAATTGGAGGGCCGGAAATATTGCGTCAATAACAGCAGTAGTAAAAACGATGGCCGTAAGGGTAGAGAGGGGGGGGAAAAAAGGAACGAAAGGAAAAAAAAAAGGGGGGGAGGGGAGGAAAATAGGTTGATCAACATGCCAAAGACCAGATTCCCATGCTACTTCCGGGAGAGTTGGAGAATGAGATCGCATACGTAGCTATGACGAAGTCGACGCCAGGCCGTGGAGAGAGATGCAGGCAGCCACCGTGCGCTAGTGAGAAGATTGTTCATGTTTCGGTGCTCAGTTGTTCCAGTTTATATACAGAGTAATACTAGTGGTATTAGTAGGCCAATTTTTTTTATAAAAAAAAAAAACGACTAGTGATAGTGCGACTAGTCGCAGGGCGACCATGTACTGTCGTAGCTATACAGATTACAGTTGTAGGGTTCACGGGGTCTTGCGAACTATGGATGAGTACTTGTTGCTTCCAGCTATTGTGTGGCAGGCTAGGACCCGGCTTGACACGCTGTGGTTCTGCTTCAGGTAATGGATGATTACGTACGTCAGAAAGGAAAGCCATCGTCTCTCTCTCTCTCTTCTCTCTCACACACTCTCTCCCTCTGACCCTCCATAAACACGGCCCGTCCACCCATACCCCGCTGCCACATCATCTCTCATGATTGGCGACTCTCGTACCAAGAGTACGGAGTAAAAGGATGGTTTGACTGGGCCGCAGGCTTTTAGGTAAGGCAACGTCGAGGTACGGAGCATTACCACGAGCCGTGACTCTACCTAATAGTCGGTAGCACGTACCTGTATAATCATGGATAGAGTGCCGTAGGCCGTGGTACGGGTTACTTCAATACCCGTACTGTCAATCGTTCCTCGCCTAGGTCCTCTTGGGGGGGGGGGGGGGGTGTTGGGGTGTTCCCCGTTCCCCTTGTCTTGTCTGACTTTTGGGCCGCTCTTGAGCGGGTTGGACCCCTTCTACCCTGGTCGGGTTCTACCCTTGTCAGGACTCCTCAGGGTACGTATCCACACTTTCTGCACCTGTTGTATTGCAAGCCCGTAAAGCAAGGCCCTGAAGGCGCAAAAAAAACTTGCAAAACAATCCTGATCGCTCGCAGGTACGACATGTACGGACCAATGCACGCGCGCGCGCGCGCACACACACACACACACACACACACACACACACATATATATATATACATATATATCACCTCTTCGGACTCTCTTCCTGCACGGCCTTCTGACTGTTCGCCATCATCCTCGTACCCGTAGCCGCCCTGCACGGATTGGAGGGGTAAGGTGGTGGGTGGGTGGGTGGGCTCGCACACACACTCTGTGGTACGCACACACCCTCACGAGAAACCATGGCACTTTCCTTTCTTCTCCTCCTTCTCCTTCTGCTCGTACGAAGATCATCCAATCCTCCGTATGCGTGATGGCAAAACATGGTATTGATGGTTAAATCCCATGACCTCTAACAGTCCGATCTATACCCTCCCTTGCAGCGATATTCGCAACATACTTTTCTTTAATTTCAAGCATTGCCCATCGTATGACCATCATCTCCTACGTCGTACGCTACCCTTTTTCTTCTCTTCAAAAAAAAAAAAAGAAAGAAAAAGAAAAAAAGAGGGGGAAAAAAAGAGAATATAAAAAAACAGAGAGAAAGAAAGTGAGAGAGAAGAATTGTCACGTCTCATCAGCTCAAGTAATAGCACCCCGTACTCCGTGGTAATAATAGCGTACGCGTACGTCGCAATACTTTACCCGGTGGCCTCCAACCCTCTAATCTTTTTCTGCACCGCCTCATATCGGCTACCAGCATCAACAGCATCAAGCATTACCCCGGTCAAGTACCATTAGCTGTTGCCCGGAATATACTCCGTACGTCTCCCTCCCCCTAGGTACCCATCGCCTCCCCGCTTACCCCCCCCCCCCCCCCCCCCGCTGTAGCCTGTTCCTTGGGGGCGTGGCTTGATTTGGCTTCTCTCTTGAGTCTTGACCCTCCCCGCCCCCCTCTCCCCCCAAGTCCCACCCCCCAGCTTCCCATACCAGTCAGGATATGCCGATCTTCTCTCTCCTTAGGGTCAGGAAAGAGACCACACCCCCTCCTACCTTTCCTCCCCCGTCCTTTTTTCCACACTCCCCCTCCCCTCCCCAAAACCTCCATCTCCCTCTATCCGTTTTTTTTCTTTTACCCGTTTCTTCTCCATCTCATATACAATACCCTTCCTCCTCCTCTCCCCCTTCCCGTAAATCTGCTCTCTTCCTCTTCTCTCGCTTCTCTTCTACACGCACACATCACACATACGCATACACTTCACCACAGCAAAACAACCGTCACATAACCCCACCGGGCGGTACATTGCCATTGCTATCCAGAAAGTAGATCAAGCCGTCTCTCGTTTATTCTCATGATTCGACAATTACTCCATACACCCACGCAGACACTATTATTATCACCGTTGCCACCCATCGCCCACTGCAGTCGATTGTTTCGTACGAGGGAACGAGAATTCTCCAGAGTGCTCGCTGCTCTATCCATTACCCTGCCCTGCCACTGGACAACCCTGAAGCCCATCCCCCAGATTGGCGCTGTCGTCCCGTCCCATCGCTACCATCGGTCGGTTCGGTCACTCTCACGTTGAAGAAATTCCCTAGCCTCTTCCCTCCCAGCTGCGCTGCCTTGTTGGAACAGGCAATTCCTCTTGTCTAGACGACAGATACGCGCACCACGCACTCTGCACACTTCACAATGCAAGCTAGAGACGCCTCCGGCCGCCAGGTGTCGCTGCTCAACGACGGCCAGCAGCAGCAGCAGCAGCCGCCCCAGCCTCAGCCGCAGCGCCCGCTGCCCGCAAGGCCGCTCAGCTACCACCAGACAGCCCCGGCGGGTCACCACCACCACCACGTCTTCTCCCATCCCAGCCCCGCCCTCCGCAGCAACTCTTCCTCCCCCAACATGCCCGAGCTGCTCCGCTCCGACTCGTATGACTCCCAGACCAGTAACGATCCCATCTCCCCCATGACGCCCTCGGTCGACTACATCTTTCCCCGCACCTCGTCGGCCTCCATCTACCCCGTCGCCCAAGACTACCCGGTCACCGCCGATGCACCCATCAAGCGGCCAGCCTACGTGACCGAGAGCCGAGCCTCGTCGTTTGAGGACGAGGCCGCCGCCGCCGCCGCTGCCGCCGCCATGTCTGGCGCGTCGCCCTCATCCGCGGCCGCAGCCGCAGCAGCCGCAGCCGGAGGGGCGTCGATGGCCGAGCGTCCCGGAAAGCGCTACCCCTGCCGCTACCGCGAAAGCCACGGCTGCGAAAAGACGTTCACCACTTCCGGTCACGCCTCGCGCCACTCCAAGATCCACACGGCCGAGAAGGCTGTCCAGTGTACCTTTCACGGGTGCCAGAAGAAGTTCACGCGCGCCGACAACATGAAGCAGCACCTCGAGACTCACTACAAGGACAAGGGTCACTCGGCCGGTCAGCGAACCCAAAAGGCCGCCGTGGCCGCCCTGGCTGGCCCCCGTCGACACTCGGCCTCGGGTCGTAGCCGTTCGGCAGCACGCGAGATGGCTGCTGCCGCCGCCGTCACCGCTCCCGCCACGACAGCGACCCCGCCCCCGGCGACGACGCCGACAACGTCTGCGGCGGTGCCTGCGGCTGTCGGCGGCACCGGTGCCGGCGTGCCCTGGAAGACGGCGACGACGGCGACGGAGCAGTACCCTCTCCCCGCACCTCCCCCTCTCCCCAACCACGCCGCTGCCGCTGCCTCTGCCACCCGTCGATCCCCCGACAGCGCTGCCTGGGACATGCGCGGCCTGGATCTGCCCCTGCTCAACCGCCCGGCAGCTCCGGTGGCCTCGCCCAGCAGTGGTCTCGATGCACTCGCCATGGCCATTGCCTGCCAGGAGGGCAAGTCATAATTCGACAGGGGAAAGGGGAGGGGGGGCCGCGGGGGGACCCGCCCGGGCAGCCCCGCCTTTCACACCCACAAAATGACAATTCCATGATATCGACATGCCAATTTCAATGCAACTCTCGTCATCCGAGGGGAACTACATCGCCACTGCATACCGCTTCTCTCTCGGCCGCACATCCACATCCATTACACACACCACGGCATACATCATGACACACGTTACATGACGACGTTACCCTCTCGCCTTTTACTCTCCTCCCCTCTTCCTTTCTTACATCTCGTCGGTCTACATCAACTACAGCAACAACTAAGATAATTTCTATTCCCCTGCGAAATCCAACACTTTCTCTTCTTTTTTCTTTACCCGGTCTCTCATCTTCATCTGGATACCAAAAGCGCAACTTTGGGATACACTTGTTTCTTTCTCTCCCATAGGGGGGGAGGATTTCCCTCATGGGCTTACGTCATCTTTACAGCTTGGCAGAGATGACGTGATCTTTGCTTAGGATGTTTTTTTTTCCTTGTCTACAACTGAATGACACTTTATATACTCTGCGACATGACGGATACGGAAAGGAAAGGAAGCAGAAGCAAGGCGTTTTTTGGTTTTATAATATTTTCCTCCTTTATGAAATGTTGTATATGAAAAAGGACACCCCTGGGACAGAGGCGAGCTGTGGTGGATGGGCAATGATGGGGATGAGGTACTGCTTGTTTTTTTGTTGGTTCGGTTCGGATTCGGATTCAATTGATACCATGGTGGCTCCTAAACTATCAACGCGTCTCTGGCGTTTTTTCATTATTATATGCGTACACGTCTTTCCGTCTCTTGTGGTCTTGTCTCTATGGTCTTGTCCCTATCGCTATGACATGCCACATGCGATGCAAGACACCACCACGTAGGGACAAGACTATGGACGATAAGCTGACGTCAGAATTGAAGCTTACCCCTCATATCCGAGGAACACAAGGAACAAGCCGTCCCGTATTCGAAGTCTGTACAATGATTAGCTAGTAGTAGCTATTAGTTAGCCATTAGTAGCTACTAATTAGAAGTAGTCTCCTCTAGGGCCCAGAGCCAAGGGTCCAAACCCATGGCATGCACGGGGTGCTCTTTGTTGAAGATGATAAGAATAGGAAAAATTATTCTTTCATCCAAAAAAAAAAAAGAGAGAGAGAGAGAGAGAGAGAGAGAAAGAGGCTATGACGGTTTCAACTCTACAGAATTCTAGAACTCCGTCACAACCTTGAACCCGGTACATACACAATGGGACTGTTGAGCCCAAACGAGGAGGGAGTCGGGTGAGCAACCGAGGATTGGATTACGAGCTCGTACGGAGCTGGAATGACGTGGATTCGAGCCACATAGTCGTATTATTCGCATTCTCGACTGCTTGTACGAGCTCACTACTACGAGGCTGTAAGCCGTCTATTATGATTGTTCATGATTATTGGCATCTTGGTGAGATCCGGTGACATTGTTGCTTACGAGCGTTTTTTTCTTGTCTATTTTTATATGGTTTGCAGACGCGCGCACACACACACACGCACACACACACACACATATATATATATATACATGACGGCTTCCTTCATCCCTGAGCATCATCACCCACTGGCCACCAAGTATACATGACACATCCAGTACACATCATCCTTACCTCGCCGTGAGAATGCGTCTCTCAACTGCCGCCGTACTGGCATCTGCCCTTGGCTCCACCCTCGCCGCCTCTCCCGTCACGGACCCATGGACCGGGCCGTTCTACCTGACCTTTGTCACGACCAACGGGACAGAGTATGCCGCCGACATTGCTACCGTGTCCCGTGGGGCCCAGGCTTTCTCTTCTTCAAAGATCTATGATACTGTCTTTGCCTATGACCCGTAAGCCTTGTTTTTCTCTTCTTGCTCCTTTTCTCTCTCTCTCTCTCTCTCTCTCTCTCTCTCTCTCTTCTATACACACGCACGCACGCACGCACATACACAGAGACAGACAGACAGACAGATAGACAGAGAGAGAGAGAGAGAGAGAGAGAGAAAAGAGAGAGTGTGTGTGTATGTGCTAGTCACGTCCAACCAGAGAGAATAACAAAAGTAAAGCGAAACCGAGCGAATGACGGACTACGACAACCCGTACATCGGAGGAAGCTCTCGCATGCTCCCGGACGAACCGGTCTGGTTCACGGCCGACCCGGAAGAGTACACGCCCGGCTCGGAGATTGTGCAGGTCACCGAGGTCAACACTGACAGTGGCGTGGAGGAGAGGTTCTTCATCAAGCACGACACCATTCAGGACGGGACGTTTGGGTGGAAGTCATACACGCCCCGCGAGGATGGGCTGCCGATCAACGTCTACTGGGTCGGAGTTGGGGGCAACTCCCAGCTTAGACTTGACTTGGAGTTGCCCGCTAAGCGTTGAGTGGGCGGCGGGTGGGTAAGCGAAGGCCCTGATGTAGATTGTGCTTGGGTGTACACGAGTGCGTGTTTCATTGGAATGACGGAGGGTAAAAGATTGTTTCGCATCAGAGTAGGAGCGCTTGCTGGTTCAGTATCCTGAACATCTACAAGTAATAATATATGTGTGTTGTCGGTCTTGCTCCGTATTACCGTATCAAAAGACAGTAACTTCTGCACAGTGTATATACTGAGTCATCCACAACTTTTCACCACCACGAGCTACGGCATCGTGGCCCAAAAAAATCAAAATCTATTAGTGCGATATACAGTGCACGATATTCTCATTCCCCAAGATTTCATCACGCAAAACCATCCGACGTCGGCTCCGATGATCCCACTCACTCCAAAACTCAACTCAACTCAACGCAGCTCAGCTCAGCTCAGCTCAGCTCAGCTCACTCAAACCGCACACGCACACGCATACACATACACACATACGATGACCCCCACCATCGGTCTCCTGGGCGGAGGCCAACTAGGTCGCATGCTGTGCGAGTCGGCCGGCCCGCTAGGCTACGACATCATCGTCCTAGACACCGGGGACGACACCCCGGCCAAGCGGGCCAATGCCCGGCCGGACCACATATCCGGCTCGTTCAAGGACGCCGACAAGGTGCGCGAGCTGGCGTCCAGGTGCGACGTGCTGACCGTCGAGATCGAGCACGTAGACACCCACGTGCTCGAGGAGGTGGCCACCAAGGGTGTGCGCACCGCCGACGGCACCGTGAAGAAGGTGCCGGTCCACCCTTCGTGGCGCACCCTGAGGCTCGTGCAAGACAAGTTCCTCCAGAAGGAGCACTTCCAGGCCCGCGGGGTGCCCATCGCCGAGCAGCTGGATCTGGGCGCCGACGGCATCGACGGCGGCAAGCTCGTCGGCAAGCTCAGGGACGCCGCTTCCGAGCTCGGCTTCCCGTTCGTGGTCAAGGCTCGCAAGGGATCCTACGACGGGAGGGGGAACTTCAAGGTCAGCAGCTCCGAGGACTTTGACCGCGCCATCGCGGCGCTCAAGGGTCTGCCCCTCTACGCCGAGAAGTGGGTGCCCTTTGTCAAGGAGCTGGCCGTCATGGTGGTCCGCACCGAGGACGACGAGGGGAACACCAAGAAGGTCTACTCTTACCCCGTCGTCGAGACGGTCCACCAGGATGACGTGTGCAAGCTCGTCTACATGCCGCCCCGGGGGGTCGACGAGGCCTCCCGAGCTCGGGCTGGGAAGGTGGCTGAGGATGTCGTCGAGAGTCTCTGGGGGAGGGGTGTGTTTGCTGTTGAACTGTTTCTCCTCGAGGATGGTAGGTCCTCTTCTCTTCTCCTCTTTTCTTTCTTTTTTTTTCTGGGTGGGAGGAGTGGGGTTTTGCTCTTGTTCTTGTTTGCGATCCAACAATGATATCGTATACATGAAATGTGTTGAAACGATACTGACTCATCTAGGCTCCATCATGGTCAACGAGGTCGCCCCCCGCCCTCACAACTCAGGTCACTACACCATGGAGGCCATCCCCCAGATGTCGCAGTACAAGGCCCAGCTCCACGCCATAATGGACTTGATCCCTCCGCAGCTGAAGCTCGAACCCCGCTTCCCCAGGGCTGTCATGCTCAACATCCTCGGCGGCGCCGTCCCGGAGTCCCACGATGATCTGGTCCGCCTCTCGCGCACGGGTTACATCGACGCCGAGACCGACGTACACCTCCACCTCTACGGGAAGGCGTCCAAACCCGGGCGCAAGATCGGGCACATCACTTTCACCTCGTCCAACGACCGTCTCGAGGAATCCATCGCCCCCTTCGTCGCGGAGGTGGATAGGATGCGTCAGGAGCGCCTGGATTCTTCGGCTGCGCAGATGCGTCCCACCGCTACTCCCGCTGCTGCTGCTGCTGCTGCTGCTGATCCTTCCTCTCCTTCGACGTCGCGTGATCGTGATGCCCCCCTTGTCATGGTGACGATGGGGTCGGACTCAGACCTCCCCGTCCTTTCGGCCGGTCTGGACATTCTAGAAAAGTTTGGCGTCCCCTATGACTGCACCATCACGTCTGCTCACCGCACGCCGGGACGCATGGCCGAGCTGGCGCACGGCGCCGCCGCGAGGGGCATCAAGGTCCTCATTGCCGCTGCCGGGGGCGCTGCCCATCTCCCCGGTATGCTGGCATCGGAGACCACCGTGCCTGTCATCGGTGTGCCCATCAAGGCTACCCATCTCGACGGAAAAGATAGTCTGCTCAGCATTGTTCAGATGCCGGTATGTAATATACACATTCAACTCCCCCACTCCTTTTTCTTCTCTGCATCTTTCATCATCTCTACTCTTGTCCCTCCCCCCTCTCTACTTCCATTGCCTCCCCCCTAAGAGATCTCACTCTAATCGCTCTGGCACAACAATAGAGAGGCATCCCCGTCGCTACCGTCGGCATCAACAACTCAACTAATGCAGCCCTGCTGGCCGTCCGCATGCTGGGATCCCACATCCCAGACTACCAGAAGAAGATGGCAGACTACCAGGAGACCATGAAGGTCGAGGTCGAGGCTAAGGCTGCCAGGCTCGAGGATATAGGCTATAAGGCTTACCTCGAGAAGAAGTAAGTATCATGGAGATAAAGTATATAAAATTCGACAAAAACAAAGCCAAAGAAAAAAAAAAAAAGGTACAAATTTGTCTTCCATGTTTCGTTTATTGTGAAGGCATTCTGCCAACTAACAAACAGCGAGGTAATCCCTCTACGCCACAACATGTTTAAAATCTGCGAGTATCATCCCGGCTCTCTCTTTTCCAGGATCCCAATCTACGGTCAAGGGTCTCCTTCATGTACCTCCTGGAGAGGGAGCCAGCCATGGCCAGGCGGTACTCTGCCTGTTCGGGATGCCCTTCTCTGTCTGCTAAACTCCGACACACGAGGTATCTCGCCATCAGCAAACTCCTATCGAGACTAGTGTTGGGTGGTCCGACGCCTCAGAGTCTCATGCTTCGACTTCAGATCCCGGGGCCCGCGCGGTCCAGTCTCGTATACGGGCCCGGGACGGCCGTCGAGCCCCCGCCGTCAACGCTGACGCCGGCCCGCGTCGCCGCCTCATCTGGCCCCAGGAGTCCAGCGCCAGGCTGATCCTGACGGTCAATCACGTCCTCGGGGGGACCACCGACGGGATCCTCGGCTGCATAGCCGACTACCACTACGACCTCTGCCTCCACCGCTGCACCAACTATGACAGCACGGGCCTGGTTGGCAGGGACCTCCTGCCCGTGAGACCCTCTGCCGGTCGTCAGCGTCTCCCGCCTCCTGGCCCTGGTGTCCTCCATCATCCCCGGCCGCGGCGTCACCTCGAGCCCGGGGCTCGTACCGTGCCGGCATACCATCGCCTCCTGCGGGAACTGCTGCACCGACTTTCGCGTCATCATTGAGCATGCAGAGGTTCGCGAGGCCACCATATCTTTGGACCTGACTGACAGCAAGGTATGTTTCTCTTGTATGATATATATGCATACATTATACACTGTACACTGTACATCCTTCTTTCATTTCTTACCAACCTCCCATCCTTTCTTCTTTCTTCTCTCATATCCCGAAAATCAACGAAACTGATTTGAGTAAGGGAGAGAGAGAGAGAGAGAGAGGAAGAAAAAGGTTGAATTCAGCCCTATCATCAACGGCTGGCGCATAATCATCGAGGCCTATCATCTGCTAGCGGTACACAGACGAGTTCATAACCCACTCTCCACGAACGTATACGATGTAAACAAGCCGCTCTCCATCTGGAATTTCGGTTCCCGCGATAATCATCTATATCCATCTGGTACCATATCAGCCCTATGGCCTCGGCAAGACGGCAATCAGCGATTCCTCCCCTCTCAGTACCATTATGTCATACGGGGGAGGGGTATACACCGGTATGCACTACAACAACAAGGGGTGTGAAGGAAAATGCTGGGAGTAATTGTCGGATTGGATTGTTCTGACGAATCTCCTCCTTTCCTTTCTTCCTTTACAGTATTGGGGGTCAATGAGCGTCATGCTACGAGATAGTTCCGGAATCATGTCTCTACAAGCATTGGAATGAAACGCCCATCATATCTTTTGTTTTTTTCATAATTTATATCAATGCTGGAGCAACGTGAGTGAGTCTAAGCCCGTTCATAACAATCCCATCTGAGCTTACAGAAATTTTGTCTTCATAGAGTTTGCCTATTCGCCGAATTGGTTAACCATCTTCCGAAGCGTAGCAGACAAAAAGAAGAGTGAGGGGTGTGTGTTTATTCCTACTATGAACCATCTTTCAAGGTGTAACAAGGGAAAGTGAAGAAGAAGAAGAAGAAAAGAAGAAGAAGAAGGAAAAGAAGAGAAGAGTGTGGGCCATGTCTATTCCCACAAGTCATCCCTGGAAGAGCATATGCGAGCCATCTCAAACTGTTCGTCAGTCTGGCAGACGAGGACGCGCGGAGTCGACTTCGAACCAGCGTCGGTGTCGGTGGCGGCGGCGGTGATGTCCTCGACGACGGAGGAAGACGACGAGGCGTCCTCGTTCTTCTTGGCGTCGACGGCGAAGCCCAGGCACCTGACGGCGTGGACGACGGCCTCCCGCAGCGCCGCGCTCTTCTCGCCTATGCCTCCGGCGAAGACGAGGGCGTCGACGCGGCCCTCGAGGGCGACGAAGTAGCTCCCGACGTAGCCGGCGACGCGGCCGACGAAGAGGTCGAAGGCGAGGCGGCGCTCCGGGGTGTCGCGGCGGGCGATGACGGAGAAGTCGGTAGTGCCGGCGAGGGCGGACCAGCCCGACTTCTTGTTGAGTATCTCCTCGGCCGTCGAGATGTGCAGGTTGGCGGTGGAGGAGGGGGACAGCTTGCCGACGTCGCTGGCGTAGTGGAAGACGAGGCTGGGGTCGATGCTGCCGCTGCGGGTGGCGCCGGGGAGGCCGGCGAGGGGCGTGAGGCCCATGGACGTGTCCCAGGACTTGCCGGCCCTGATGGCGCAGGCGCTGGCCCCGCTGCCGAGGTGCAGGGCTATGACGTTGAGGTCGGACGCGTCCCTCGCCAGGGCGGAGGCGGTGTTGCGCGCGATGAAGGCGTAGCTGATGCCGTGGAAGCCGTACTTGCGCAGGTGGTTCTTGCGGGCGATCTCCTGGTCGATGGGGTAGGTGGACACGTGCGGCGGCATGGTGGCGTGGAACTGCGAGTCGAAGCAGGCGACGTTGCGCGTCTTGGGCAGCAGCTCGATGCAAGTCTTGACGTTGTCCAGGGCGGCGCCGTTGTGCAGCGGCGCCAGGTCGCTCAGCAGCTCCAGCGTGTGGTACGTCTCGCGCGTCACCAGCTGGGCCTCGGTGAAGTCGCCGCCGTGCACGATGCGGTGGCAGGTGATGGCGATGTCCTCGGCCCGGGCGATGTCGCTCAGCTCCGGGTCGTCGATCAGCATGTGCACCATCATCTTGAAGGCGTCGCCCGGCGTCCGCACCGTCGACGGCGGCTCCATGTCCTTGTGGATCCTCTGCCCGCGCCGCACGTAGCTCACGCCCATCGGCGGCGCCGTCAGCCCGCTCACCCGCACCTCGGCGATCTGCTCCGGGTCCGCATGGCGCTCCTTGAGAGAGTAGACGGATATCTTGATGGAGCTGGATCCAGAGTTGACCGAGAGTATCGTCGTCTTCATCGTCGCGAGCGCGCGGAGGGGTTCGTCACGTCCCGGTCGGTTATCGCCCCGCCAATAGAAGAAGAGTCTTACTGCTGAGTGTGTAGTAAGACTGTCGACAGAAAGAGAGTGAAAGTTATCTCTCAGGTATTATCAGGTCAATAGAGTCCTCGAGAAGTCAATCGAGCTTCTCCTCAGTTTCTGTTTTCTTCTTCTTCTCTTTTTTCCCCTCTTTTTCAGCAAGACCGAGATCAATGAGGCTGGTTGGCTGAATGTAAAAGTAAGAACCTCTTTTTTTTTCTTGGTTTTTTTTTGGGTATTTTTTTTCTTCTTCTTTTGTCCCTGTCGTCGATACGATGATGACGATGTGATGAGTACGGGCAGATGCTTCTTGACGAGGGGCTTCCCACCAAACTTATCTGTGCCGGTTCGGTGACGTCTTCCAGGCCAACGGAGTTCCAGAACCTGGTCTCCAGGCCTGTCAGACTCTCAGGCTCACCACCCGAACCCGTAACCACCCCACCCGCATACATGGAATGGCGTGAGTCGGGCGGGTGTGAATCGAGAGCCCGTTGTCGTGCTTCCCCCCTCCCCTACAACACGCGCGTGTCGTACGATTCAACTTATCGATCCGCCTGTTCCGGTGGTAGTGTGGGGGATGGGGGATGCAAATGGCAGATGCAGGTCTCGTCTCGCGACACCCGGACGTGCGTCTTCACCGGCAGCCCCATGTGCTGTGCTCGTCAGAGCTTTGCCTGTAGAGTGGCAATATTGTTCCTGTGCTGGCTTGAATCCCAAAACTTTGAGAAACGGCTTGGGAAGATGGACCGATGCGACTGTCGATGTACAATGTGCTCGCCCTCCCGTCAATCGACACTACAAGAACGTGCATATTGAATCCATAGTCGGTACTCTGTGCCTTGAGTCGTGGTTGTTCAGACGATAACAGAGGAGCACTTCTACTATTACCCAACTTGGAGGTTTTTTTTTTTCTTCTTACTGAATATCGGAATCAGTCATGGGAAGTAGGTCAGATGATAGAGCGTTAAGAAAGAGAAGAAGAAGAAGGAGGAGGAGGAGAGAGGCTCACGTATTCCAGGATGACGTCACTGTCGCTGCAAGCCCAGTCACCATGGTGCATCGTCGTAGTCGGGCCACGAGGATTTCTCGACTGTGTTCCTCTCGAGGGATCGACCTCGCAGTGTCTGATATGCCTCACCCTTGTCCTCGAGGGCAATCCAGACTCGCTGCGAAGATCATCGACGACTCCCACTGTCGACATGTACAAGACGCTTTTCTTTATTGTGTTTCTTTTTTTACTTGTACGAGAGTACTCGGGTAGCATGCATCACGTACATGGCATACATGCATGATACGATCTTTTGCCTTCTTTCTATATGCTCGCAGACGTCCTCTATTCTCATCAAAAGATACACTTTACGTATTTTACGATGAAGAATCCACGCAAACAATGGCCGACACCTCACACACAGAAAAGCTTCAGACGAGGGTTGAATGTAGATGTGTAGGAGTCTCCAGTTGCCCCTCAAGGTTATCGTACAAGTTTCCAATATCACCCACATTAACTACCTTGGAGAGGAAAAGACACCAGAGATATCGCCCCCATCGGGAAAGGAAGAGCAACGATATAGCCGTGACCATACATATTCTGGGATCTAACGCCCGCAAGGACGAAAAGATGAGAAGAAGAAAAGGGAGAGACGAGAAGAATCACCTCATAGCCTCGTTCCCTTGATCCCAAGAAGACAGATCCATGGCATCCATAGGTCCCATATTCATCAGTACCCTCAACACACCATCTCCAACCTGTGGCATAGTGACCTGACTCTGGATATTGGCCCAACCATTCGCCATGTCAAATGCATTCTGCTGTTGTCCCTGTTGATGTTGATGTTGGTTATGTGAGACGAAAAAGTTGCCTGAATTCCCCACTACACCACGGCCGCCACCACCACCACCGCCACCACCTCTTCCTCCTCCTCCTCCTCCTCCAGTCTGATTGCCGACCATGGTATTGTGCTGCTGCTGCTGCTGCTGCTGCTGTGGCGACACGGGAATGCTCTGGTATGGAGCAGCGGCCGCCGACGGATCCGCGTGCTGCTGCTCGTGGCGACAAGAGAAATACGCGCCTGCGCTTGCGCTTGCGCTTGCACTTGCACTCGCGCTCGCACCTGCACCTGCACCTGCACCTGCAGCCGCGCTGTCCCTGCAGCCGCTGTTGGTGCTGGAATTGGGCGTGGGCCGGTTCGACTGCCCGTCCGTGGATCCCTGATTATCACCGCTGTTGGTCCGATCGTAGCTGGATGCGGCGCCGGACAGCGACTCGGCCGGGAACCACTGCTGCGTGTTTAGGCCGGTGTCCAGCGTGTTCGGCGCGTCCGTCTCCTTCCCGTTCTTGCCCGCCATGTCGACGTAGTCAACTTCGCCGCGGACCATGATGCTGCGCAAGCCTCGGTCGCACGTGGTGCCACGGGGGGTCCCGGTCCGGATGGTACGGAGGTTGTCCTCACCTTGTGGCTGTTGAGGAGGTGGGAATCATGTCAGTATAACACCATTGCGTGTGGGGGGTCCGCCCGGAGAGGAGGGGGGAGCGGTCGTTGACGAGATCGGGGGTGTCTGGAGTCAGGAGGGGGGGGGGGTTCCGGAAGGGGAGAGGGTCTGAACATACACTGTCGCCCGGTCGGGGAAATTGGCTTCTCAGCCTGGGTATCCGCGCAGACAGCACCTCGAGATCGACGTCGAGCTGGACGAGGAAGGATTCGGTCAGGGGATTCTGACGCTTCAGCGCATGCATGGCCGACAAGAGGAAGTTGAGCGAGTCGGCCGTCTGGCTGTCGTCCGGTCGGCTCTTGAGGTACTGGACGAATACGCGTGCGGAGACGTATAGGCAGAATGAGATGAACGGGTTCATCTGTTGAACGCGAGATGATTAGCACTCCTCCCCGCGAATCTTGACTTTTCCTCTCCAGATAGTTCCGATACGCGTATATCAGGTCAGAACATACCGAAGCGAGGTCCATGTGGGATACGGTGCGCATGACGCTGGCAATCTCGTTGGCGGCGGTGATGCAGCGGATCTTGCTCTCGGACCCCACCGAGCCGGGGAGGTTGTGCTTCTCTGACTTGAAGATGGCGGCCTGGTGCAGGCATATGGTCGATGTGTGGATGCTCATGTTGGCGAAGACGACATTGGGGCTCGAGATGCCGGCGGGCAGCTTGAGGTTGGGGGGCAGGTTGAGCGACGTGTCGAGGATGATGTTGTCGAGCTGACGGTGGCGCTTCCAGAAGGGCCCGTTGAGGTTTTCCTCGTCGTCGTCGGCGTCCGGGCGGTGGAGGTGCATCAGATTACGGCCGAACAGGCTGGCTATGAGGACGACGGCGCCAAAGGCCGACAGCCCCGAGGCCCCCGACGGCTCGATGGCCTCGCCCAGCGACATCGTCCTCTCCGGCCGGCCCATCTCGAAGGCCTCCTCCGACGCCGGCAGGTTGGTCACGATGTCCCGCTCGTCGATCGCGATGGGCCACCCCGTGCCTATGCTCGCGTACCGGTCCTCGCAAAAGGCCATCCAGAAGGTTCGCCGCCTCTCCTCGCATTCGGTCCAGTCTTGCGAGGGTGGTAGGCACTGCTTCACTTCCATCCCTGCGCCATCGATACGATGAAGTCCGATCCTGGAAACGCATGTCAGCCGTCTTGTATCTCCTTGTTCAGGCTTTGTGCGTGTTTCCTTGTTCAAACTTCGTCTTATCCTGTTCAGACACTTCGCCTCACCCTATTCAGAGCAAGCGGCACACACGGGAAGAGCGGCAAGAAGAAGATGAAAAGAAGATGAAATAAAAAAGAAGAAGAAAGAAGAAGGAGGAGGAGGGGGAGAAAAGAAGGAGAAGGGGAAGAAAGGAAGGAGGAGGAGAAGAGGAGGAGAAGGAGAAGACGTACATCTGGGCGAGCCTGACGGCAGAACCGGTATTGATCCACGCACGCGGAAAGTACATCATCTTCATCTCGTAAAAGGAGAGCAGGATGTGCGTCTGGCAGTGAGCAACGGAGATCATGTGCTCTCCGAAGCCCTTGATATAGTCTCCCTCGAGATACCTGCGTGCCCTCTGATAGAACAGGTGCCTCATGTCCAGGAACCTGTCGGTGATGGAACACGCCATGGTCCACATGGCGTAGCGCAGACAGACGGGCGGTCTCTGGTTGGGCGGCAGGTCCATGGCTGCCAGGTAGCGGCACCTGTGTATCATGGGTATGGACGGGTGAACCTTTTCAAAGTAGATCTGCTGGAGCTCGTCGATTGTCTGCTGCGGCGGAAGGGGCTCCTCGAGTCCCATGCTAATCATCTCCCAGGAGAAGTCGTCATTATCGATGCCCATGGCGGCAGTGCCGAAGGAAAAGTCGTCCATCGGGGGAGGGGGAGGGCCACCGCCAGCAGAAAGGCCGGGCTGTTGCGACGACTCGCGACCGAAGGTCTGTCTAGCATTCGCGTCCCAATCGACACCCGCAGAGAGGCCCATGGACTTCTGCAGCGGGGCGCTGCCGCCGCTCTTATCGGCTGTCGCTGCTGCGGGGCCAGCATTTGGATCCTGCGTCTTGAGAAGGGTCTCTACTTGCTCTGTTCCTCGGGGGATTGGGGGCGGGGTTTCCGTCGTCAGCAACATGCTCACTGTGATCTCTCCCACGACAGTTCACGATGCGGTGGGAGGGGGGAGACACGACGTACTCAGTCTCTCCTCCAGGGCCTTGACGTAGCCTCTCTTCGGTCCGCTCTTCCTGCGCTGCTCATCGTAGGCGCACGTATGCCCCAGACGGGAACAGGTGCTGCAGCTAGGTCGGACACCGTCGCACTTGAGCTTGCGCTTCCGGCACACCATGCAAGCGAGACGTTTTGGCTTGGGCATGCCCGAGTTATCGCGAGGCACCGAAGCTGTATTGTCGTCAGCGCCAGCGGAGGCGATCTGCTGCGCCTGCTGGACAGGCGAGCCTTCAGAATCGTCCATGTGTTCGTCAGGCATGCCGGGCATTGACTTCTAGGGTCCTTTTCTCTCTCTCTCTCTCTCTCTCTCTCTCTCTCTCTCTCTCTCTCTGTTTCTCTTATCGATTCAACTCAAGCGGGCTTGGTCTCGGGGCGGGCGAAGGGGGTGTTGTGAATCGGACCGTTGGCCATCGGATCAATGGGTTTCGTGTCGGTCGTCGTCGCATACAACGAGTAATGTAAATGACTGAGGTTCCTTGGTAGAGACCGGCCTGGGAGAGGGGGAGATGGAGGTTTCAACGATGCGTATGCGAGTACTGTAGGTGCGAGTACTGTAGGTGCGAGTACTGTAGGTGCAAGTACCGTAGGTAACAGTACCAGCAGTTTAGCATGGAAGGTTGGCAGCCGCAGGCCCGCCAGTACAGCATGACTAAAGTAGCCGATACGGCCCGGCTACTAGTAATGATAGTATCACTGCCACTGCCAGTAAGCAGACGACGCATCTGTTGGGCTTATCACTTTCTATAATAGCAGTACTCGTATGTACAGGTATGTTGCAGCAGCACGTTGCAGCATGTTGCAGCATGTAGTAAGTAGCATGTACATACTTGATACCCCGAGACCCAATCTTCCGTCCCACATGCTTTCTGCTTATTATTCTCAAGGATGAATACTTTTGATACAGTAATACAGTAATACTCCGTATGAGTATGTTTGATGGATGTTCGTGCTAAACGTATGTGTGCTCGACCCTCGTACGAGTACTGCGGCCCGCACTGCACACACCCCCCCCCCCCCCCCCCCCCCCCCCCCCCCCCCACGCCACGGTCAGGCCATAGCGTCCAGTGTTTTTAGCCTCGTCGACCCTCTGTGACTTCAATCCAGCCGTGATGCGTCACACCCACCCTTGCNCCGTCCCACATGCTTTCTGCTTATTATTCTCAAGGATGAATACTTTTGATACAGTAATACAGTAATACTCCGTATGAGTATGTTTGATGGATGTTAGTGCTATACTTATGTGAGCTCGACCATCGAACGAGTACTGCAGCCCGCACTGCATACGCCCCCCCCCCCCCCCCCCCCCCCCCCCCCCACCCACGCCACGGTCAGGCCATAGCGTCCAGTGTTTTTAGCCTCGTCGACCCTCTGTGACTTCAATCCAGCCGTGATGCGTCACACCCACCCTTGCAAGAGGGCGCATATTCTGTTACCTCTTACCTGCAATAGACTATTATTACTGCTCATACCCCTACTCGTACATACACTATATATCCACTTAGGCAACCGTTTGTTCCATCTCCTCTGACAGTGATGGACTTTAAGACCCCGTCTGCTGATGACCGCATTTGTCGATCCACATAAGAAAAAGAAAACGTTACCCTATGGACACGACGACGTGTGAACGAAGATGAAATGACCATGGATCAGATACGTGTACACCCTTGGGCTTTGCGACGCACGAAGGTACTGGTAGTGTCATTGGTAGTAACACCTCTTTATTGCGCTCCCATACATTCTCATTTTGTTTTACTAGCATTTTCTGGTGTGCTGTAGAGACTCACGTTGACGTGTTACGATCCTTTTGCCGGCGTAAAATTATCCCGTGCTGACACCAAGGTGTGATATGTCGTAATACCGCTACTCTAGCAGTAGTACGCACTTGGGCACTAGCAACAGCAGGCTCAGCAGTAGTAATACTGCAGTAGCAATAGCAGCAATAGCAGCAGCAGCAGCAGTGATAGCGGTAGCAGTAATAATAGTGATAGTAGCTAGCGCCAACATTCGTCGACAAACATAGGGTTGATACAACGGTATGAGAATGAGGATATATATGGCTCACTACTGCCAGCGATGACAAGGCCGGATGGACAGAAGAAGTGTAGTAGAAAGAAGAAAGAAGAGAGATGCCGATACAATCTGCAGCTCACTTCTTATCCGTGTCGACGCCAATAATCCTCAGAGATCCAGCATCACTATACGCCAACCAGTACCGCGTAGGTGCCCAGGCCACGACGGGACAGGCACCTGCCGTCTTGAACGTGTGAACCTTCTCGCCCGTCTCGGCATGGGTGACGTCTAGACCGGAACCCTCATCGCTACCACCGACGATGAAGCTTCCATCAAAGGTGAAGCCTTGAGAAAGAAGAAGAAGAAGAGTCAGAACAGCACACAAGACTACGACATATATATATATGGGAAAGACAAGAAGAGAGGGACGACATACTGATAGTCCTGACCGGCCCGACCATGGTCGTGACAGTCCTCTGACAGATCCAATCCTGCGTATCCCATAGGGAGATGATGGAGTCGGAACCGCCGGTGGCCAGGTACCGTCCCGTAGGCTGCAGCTCGGCGCTCAGGCAGCTGGACGTGTGGCCGGACAGGCTGAACTCGCCATCGTCGTCGCAGTAGTAGTCCAGGCGCAGCACGGGTCGGAAGTCCGGGTACGACAGGATGCGGATGCGGCCCTCGGCCGTGGTGAGGAAGACCTTCTCGCCGCTCCAGCAGAAGGCCACCTGGTTCGTCTGCGTGGTCTGCTGGTGCTCCGACAGCGGCGTGGCCGACCGCGGCGACAGCACGAACAGCCTGTCCGACTTGTTGCCCACCACCAGCGTCTGCCCGTCCGGAGCCCAGGCCAGCGTGAAGGCCTCGTCCAGCCCCCTGACCTCGTTGAAGCAGTCCTTTGTGCGGACGTCCCAGAACTTGACCACGCCGTCGCTGCTCACGCTGCACAGCTCCGCGTCCTTGGTAGGGTTGAAGGCTACCTTTTCGATCGGGCCCGAGTGTCCTTTTAATTCTGTCGAGAATTTGACGTGAGGTTTGTCGGGATTCCCTTTTTTTTTTTTTTTCAGTCCTCATAGTTAGCACTGTACATTTTACTGGACTGATAAGGGACAGAGAGAGAGAGAGAGAGAGAGAGAAGAGACATACAAACTCGTAGAGTCTTGTCCGCCGACCCCGTAGCAACCAATGTCCCAAGAGGATTCCACGCAATCGATCGTAAGCTATCGTCTCACCGCGTTAGTTTCGGGGGGGGGGGGAGGAGGACAATTTAAGAACGTAAACGTAGAGATTTTCCCTCTTTTTCTTCTTCTTCTTCTTCTTCCTCTTCTTTTTTTTTTAAAAAAAAAAAAAAAACTCACTTGTTAGACCCCGCCCTCACCCCATTGGGATCATTGTAAAGTTGAGGTCGCAGGTTACCAAAGTAAGGAGAGAATCGTTCGGCCGACAAGCTCTGTCTAGGTCGTAAGATAGGAGCCATTTCTCCTCTCCCTTTATATATATATCCTTAACCTGAGTATATCCTGCCCCCCCCCTCTCTCTGTCTCTCTCTCTCTCTCTCTATATATATATATATATAATCCCCCAATCTGTCGTTTGGTCTTCTCTGTACCCAGTCTCGCACATTCACGATGAAGTCTGGCTGATGGACATCTATCCGGTCCGTGTGCCTTCTTGCGCCTCCTCCTTTCCCTAAGCTTCTAGCACTAGGGATATATAGGAAGAGAGCCCCGAAATCCGCGTCACGTCTGGATTGCCGGTGTAATTGCCAAGCCTAGAAGGCTGTAGAGAAGTCCAGGGTCGGGATGCGGATGTGAGCGTGATGTCGTGGCTTGATAAACATGAGTTGAAGATGAAATGTGTAAGAACATGGGAGAGGGTCCTCGTCTGTCTACTCGGACTGGTACGCCTTAGAATGAGTGTGACGCTGCCACCTGGCGCAGCTTCTTGAATTCCTCTAAATTGTTGGAATAAGCAGCTGAGTCATCACCCGGAAAGAGATTGTTCCGGCCCGATCGGCAGTAACCCTGACGATAAATGGCCACCTCTACAGTCAGAATTACCCCCCTATACATAGATATCATCAACGACATCATCAAATGATCAGTCAACAACCTGCAGATGGAGAGGATCGCTCTCGAGAAATAGTATGATGTCATGTTTCCCGGCCGAAGGCCGCTGGATCTCGAGAAATGGCTCAGATCTGCAGAAGAAGCTTGCATTGACTGCGAAGGCCTTGGATTCTGGAAAGGAAAACCTATCATATGCTTCACGAGCTTCATGCGTGTGCTCTGGACAGTGTACCCTTATCAAGTCAGCATTCGGGAGATGTATTTCACGCCCAAACTTGAAGATGGATCCCTGCAGCTGCGAGAGGTGATGAACAAGATTGAAATCCGTCACATGACGGTCAAAGCCCGCACGGCTAAGGCTGCCTCTGCAACTGCAGAGACGAGGGATGACTCGGATGAGGATAGATCCGATGGCAGCTCTGAGCCAACGTTCAGCAACAGCAACAACAAGCGCCAGAAGAAGGCTCGAAAGGCTCACGAAGAGCCCCGAAAGATGAGGAAGGTCTGCCCTGTGTGTGAGCAGTTCCCTCTGATGTGTGGTTATGTGCTATGCTGACGGCACGAATCCGTCGCCACACCTCGAGTATTTTCTTGCCATAGCAGATCATACCATGGCTTAAGACAGGCGGGGGGGCTCGACCGTGAATTACAACCGGCGAGTCCGGCACCACCACAATGGTAGATAGCAGAACAAGAACCTCGTCACCACCTGACACCTAACCTACCCTTGATGCGAGTTGGAAGTGATTGTGGTGTCTGCTGTTCGTAGACATGTTGTGTCATCTAGCTATATCCAAACACCTTCTCACCACTCAAACACTCTCCCGCCGTTCCTCGCACACGGTCTTGCTCTCTCTGTGTGCCGACCTTGACGTCTAAGAGCAGAGACCCCTGGGCGGCGTCACACACACACTTCACTCACGTCAGAAAAAAAATCTCCACTAAGAGCTTCACCAACCTACTTGTCTAGTCAAGAGCTTCGAAAACCCTCCCAATTCACCGTAACAACCTTTTTTCTTCTTCAGAACATTACCGTCACAGTTACTTGGACTGGAATTACTCTAGGATTACACCATGATTACAGTTACCTTCACATTCATACTTCCAGCAAAACAAATGCAATTTCATTCATCCACCTTTATCAACGCCCGCATAAACCAATCGTGGCGATATGCACATATCCCTTTTTCCCCTCTCTCTTTTTCCCTTGCCTCGTCTCTCTTCCCGAGAATGAAGAAATCGATCATGGAATCTCTCTTTCCCGTTTTCCCCTGATCCGAAACCACAAGGAACACGAAGGAAAAAAAAGAATACCAAAACGTAACCACAGAAATAGAAACAGAGAACGGGTGGAAAAAAAAAGAGGCACGGAAGAAAAAACAAAAAACCAAAAGCTTAAAAGGATATATAATTCCACTTAGTGCGTTGTGTGTGTGTGTGTGTGCCGAACCCAATGCGCGCCAGATTCGCCAATGACTCCGCTTTCCCTTTGTTTACCAAATCAAGAAACAGAAAACCAGAATGTTGCAATGTTGTGTGGAAAGAGGGAGAAAAACCATGTACAAAAAAGGCGACGAGGGTGAAGGAAAAGAGCACGGTGAGAAAGAGGAAGACGAGGGGGAATAATCAAGACCCCGAAAACAACAGCCTGTAATCTAGCATGATAAACAAGCGTCCCGGCAAAAAAAAAGTAGAGAGTTGGAAAGCCCCAGCCCGTCGGTCTCTTTTATATCTCGTCCTCGTCCTATTCCCCTTTCCATGTCATATACCCGCTCCTGTCAAAGAAGACAGAGTATATGCATCGTCCAGGGAGAGGAAAGGAAACAAGTCTTGGCTTGGGTTGAGGATGGATTTTGTATTATCGTGTCATTAAGGGGGGGGAGGGGGGGAGCAGTGATGTTCAAATCAAGGCGAAGTCGGGTCCTGACCGCGGTTTGTTTCTGCCTTGAAGCCGGACGATGGGGATAGGTAGTTTCGTTGGGTGTTCGTTGGCTATTTTTGCTTCTTCTTCTTCTTCATCGGACGACCTCTGCCATTGCGTTGGAAGAATCGGTATTCGTCTCTCTCTCTATGAGATCTGGTCGAGAGAGTACTCGAGGTCCGTGAGGCCGAATGCGGCAGCGTTCTTCTTAGCCCACGAGCGAGCAAGGAGGGAAGCTATCATGATATCAGCATCTTGAGTCGCGAAATGGTAGGTTACGGGATCGGAAAGCTTACACTTGAGGAACTTTTTGCTGGCGTACTTCTTGAAGAAGGCCTCGTGGCAGATGGGACGGGCAAGGTAGTCGACCATGAGCTTGACGACGGGGTCAACCTCTTCCTCGTTGTAGCCGGCATAGTAGACGAGGGTGTCATCCTGAACAGGTCAGCGTATTTCCTTCCTAGAGGCCACGCCCCCCCTTACAGGTGGGAAGGGGGAGGAAGGAAGAAGGTAGGTGAGAGTGGGGGAGGGGATATGCATACCCATTCGCCACGGTCAAGCATCAGACGGGCCAGGTACATGGCACCGGCGGCGATGTGGCTGGGGCGGAACTCCATGAAGCGGTGGTCGAGGAGGCTGATCTCCATGAGGTACTTGCCAACGGTACGCGACTGAATGTCGTAGTTGTCGGCCTTGGAGACGCGGCGGAGGAAGTTCATGGGGTTGGGGTAGCTGAGGTCGTAGTCGAGGGTGCTGAGGACGCAACGCTCGGCGCTCAGGATCTCGGACTCGCTGAAGCCGTTGTCGGCTATGCGCTTGAAGTTCTCGACGTGGGGGGAGAGCACCTCCTCGTACTTGGAGGCGATGAACATGGCCGTGATGCCCACCAGCTGGAGGCGGTCGAGCTGGACCACCTTCTCGGACAGGAAGCGGTCGATGACGTTGACGGCGAGGAAGAGGGTCTCGGGCAGCAGGTGGAAGCGCGTGTGGACCTCGATGAGCCAGTCGACGAGGATGCCGCGCGTCTTCCACTCGAGGTCGTCCTGGTGGCTCATGTACTCGGGGTTGGGGATGGACAGCACCTCGAGGTCGCGGAGGTAGTCGAAGATTTCGTTTGCGTAGTCGGCCACCATGAGGGGGTCGTCGAGGTCCTCGGCGTCAAACTCCTTGATCTTTTCGAGGAACTGGAGGCGGGCCTCTTCGTCGGCCTTGGCCTGCGCGTCGGCGTCAGCGTCGGCCTCGGCCTCGGCCTCGGCAGCGATACGGATAGGAGGAGCAGCGTTCTCCTTGTTGACCTTGGGCTCTGTCCGGGTGCGCTTCTCGGTACCCATGGTGTGGGGCCTCTTGCGGATGGGCTCCGACTCTTCGTTGACGGACTCCTCACGGGTGCTCTGGGCGGCTGTGGCGGTCATCTTCCTCTTCTGTGCGGTACCCACGCTGGTCGATGTGGTGGCAGCGGCAGTGGTGGTGGCAGTGGTGGTGGTGGCAGTGGCCTTCCTGGGCTCGACAGCGGCGGCCCTCTTGGTGGCCTCCTTGGGGGCCATGGCGTTGCGGGTGGCAGGACGGGCGACGTTCTTCTGGACACCGGCCGTCTTGGAGACGAGACCGCCCTTGGCGTTGGCGGCCTTCTTGCCCTCGGCGGCAGCACCATCCTTTCCAAAGTTGCTCACGTCACCGAGAGCAGCGCGTTTCCTCTGAGGGTTGACGGCGGCCTTCTTGGGCTGCAGCGCGCCCTTGACGGGGAGCTTGGAGGCATCCTCGGGGCCCCCAGCGGCGGCCTTGGCTCGGGTCAGACGCGTCGTCGTGTTCTCATCGTTCTCATTCTGCACGACGCGTTGGCGGGTGGCGGGACGACCCTGTTGCACCGCGTACAGGTCAGTTGAGATGCGTCCCCATGTCCGGCCGCGTCCAGACGCGTCTGGATGGATGATGAGGTACAACTTACGGGAGGCATGATGACGGTATGTGTGCGTGTCTTTTTTTTCTAGTCTGTTCCGAAGATGGTGCACTCGGCGGTCTGAACTAGGTTCTGATACAGATCTCCAGAGGGCCAAGCTATTTTTGCCGTCAGTATCTGTCGACGAAGGGAGGGAGGTGTTGTTGTGCTGCGTGTAGGAGAAAAAAGGAGCGTGATGGGCGACAAACAGCACCAGACGCAGCAACACGGAGGAGATGCAGGAAGGAGTTGAATGAATTAAAAAAAAAAAAAGGAAGACGGTTGTGAGAGAGGGAGGAAGAATAGAGGAAAGATGCAGCGGTGAGACAGTCGAATTAGAAAAAGGAATCCTAGGCAACGGACCTCTGGTGGTTCAAGATAAGATGAATGGGCGACACGGACGACTCGGCGCGTCTTGGAATGCAAGGCGACTTTTTTTTTTAGGCGGGAAAAGAAGGCCGGAAGTGGAGAGGCGTCGTGGTCGTGCCCGAAAGACTGTGTTGTTTTTCTCCGTTGGTGGTCGGGTACTGGTAGTAGTAGTACGGTAGAGGAGGGAAGACTGTTGTAGCTGGATTTGTTCTTAACTTGAATGAAAGGAGGTATGACCGAGAAAGAAAAACAAAGAGATGGAGAGGGAGAAGAGAGAGGGAGAGAGGGAGAGAGAGAGATTGGGAGCGGGAGGGCAGACACCTGGAGGTAGAGGTGTTTTGTTGTCGGGGACAATGGGTACAGAAGGGAAGTTCGAGGTGTTTTGAAGAGCGGAGCCTGAGCAGGGGAGGGGGCAACGGTGCCAATGGGCGCGTTGGTAGAGGTGCTGGTAAAACTGACGCGGTACGTACCGATTTTTTTTTCTCTCTCTCTCTCTCTCTGCTTTCAGCTCTGAGCGCGTCGCGATTGCACGCAAGTTGTACGCAAAGTTGTACGCGAAGCCTACATATAGTTATGTACCGTGCACCGCAGCATATCTGAAATGGCTTGTTCAATTGACAATTACGAGTGCCTGTACAGATTACATTCATATTCAACTTCCTCTTCATTTTTTTTATTCTTCGTCTACAGATGGCAGGATACCGAGTATCATCACGTATGACGGCCCGCGTACTGCAGCCTGGACGGCGGCCTATCCCACCCAAGCGTGTCTGAATCCCGCAAGCAGATGCTTCCATGCTCTTGGGCTGCACCGCCCCATCAGATTCCGGATGTGATACTCGCAGAGACATAGACCGACACAATGGTGACCGTTATTGCCAGCCATCCGATGCCGTCATCATACAATGCTGCTCGGGCTAGTATCAGTGGACGCGTGCCTATATCCGAGTCTCGTGGCCAGTAGATTACGAGTATGTCCACGCCCATCTCGTACCTGCCATCAATGACCGGTTAGACCGCGTCCCCCGACCTGAGCCATCAGCGCTGATTGCATAATAGCGAACGCGGGACGAACTACCGCAGACGTCTCGCATCTGCACGCACAGTGGGCTGGGCATAAGTCGACGCGTGCTGGGGTGCGTTCCCTCCCCTCTCTCCTCTCCTCTCCTTCTTCTACCGAGTTGCAGGGCCTACGGGGGTCTTCCACCCCTTCTACAGGTAACCACACGTCGCTGACCGTTACTCGTAGCGTCGTCAGAGGGAAGGAAGCCGCCGCATGTCGTATGGGCACGCATGTTGTTTCGGTGTCGGTGCTCCATTTATGACCCATCCAAACAATGGCAACGCCATAGCAACGGGCCTGTCATTGGCCGTCACGGGTCCGTTAGCGCGACGCCGCTCGGGCCCCCCTGTCCGTGGGCCTCTCTGTTCCCTTTGGCAGTGCCTGCCTCTGACAGCGTAGTGACAGGTGTAAGGCTCACTGTCGCGTCAGATGGGCTGGTGGCGCATGAGGCAGTGCTGGTCGCCGGATTGGCTCACTCGTTGTACTATTGTGGCTTGACGACTTTTTGACCCTTTTTCGACCGGAGAAACATTTTGTCCTTTCCTCCGGGCAAATTTCGCCTGGCTTCGATGGGAAACCGTACCGACTCTGGACCATTTGACGATGGTGCTGCTGAGGCCTGCCCTATCCCATCGACCCTCGACATCCAGACAGGGCTCGCCGAGCAACCGTACTCCCTCCCTGTCTCTCTCTCTCTCCTGACAGAATGCTACAGCCCCGTCTGCAGCTCTCTGCAGTGCGCAGGGGACTGCAGCTCCTGTCGCTGCAGCAGCGGACGGCATTCCCGTCGTCGGCTGCAGCAGCGTCGAGGTTCTACGCCACCGGCAAGAAGCCGTCGTCGCCGCCGCCGTCGCCATCGGCATTCGACCACGACCAGTTCTCCGCCGACAGCCTGCCGCGCTCGTCGAGCACCGAGGCCGGCCAATCGGGCAACGTTGCCTTCCTGCGAACCTACAAGCCCCGCACGCCCGGCGTTCGTCACCTGAAGCGTCCGATCAACGACCACCTGTGGAAGGGCCGTCCTCACCTGCCCCTGACCTTCCCCAAGAAGGGCCAGTCCAAGGGTGGCCGCAACTCGACGGGCCGCATCACGGTCCGCCACCGCGGAGGCGGTGCCAAGAGGAGGATCCGCACCGTCGACTTTGAGCGCAAGGTCCCCGGCCCTCACCTGGTGGAGCGCATCGAGTACGACCCGGGCCGCAGCGCCCACATCGCCCTCCTGACGGAGAAGTCGACGGGCAGGAAGTCGTACGTCCTGGCCGCCGACGGCCTCCGCTCCGGCGACGTCGTGCACAGCTACCGTGCCGGCATCCCGGCCAAGCTCCTCGCCAGCATGGGCGGCGTCATCGACCCGGGCATCCTCGCTGCCAAGACGGCCTTTCGCGGAAACTGCCTGCCCCTGCACATGGTCCCGGTCGGTACCACCGTCTTCGCCGTCGGCTCCGCCGCCTCGCGCGGCGCCGTCTTCTGCCGCAGCGCCGGCACCTCGGCCGTCGTCGTCAACAAGAACGAGGAGACGAGGGACGACGGCTCCAAGGTCATGACGGGCAAGTACGTCGAGGTCCGTCTCCAGAGCGGCGAGGTCCGCCGTGTCAGCAAGGATGCCTGCGCTACCATCGGTGTCGCGAGCAACATCCATCACGGGTACCGTCAGCTCGGAAAGGCTGGTCGTAGCCGATGGCTCAACATTCGGCCTACCGTGCGTGGTGTTGCCATGAACAAGGGTATGGGCTTTTTCTCTTCTTTTTTTTTCTTTTTCTTGCGTCTCTCCATCGTCTGCTCGTTCTCCTCTTTCCAACCCAACCCAACCCAACCCAACCCAACCCCTTTTTTTTATTCTATTCTTTTGGACCTTCCCCCCCCCACCTCCCTTTGACGACCCTTCTCGCTCTCTGCTATGTTCTGTATCGGCAGGATGCTGACTCACGTGAAATATAGTCGATCACCCTCACGGTGGTGGCCGTGGAAAGTCCAAGAGTAACCGTCACCCCGTCACGCCCTGGGGCAGGCCCACCAAGAGCGGCTACAAGACGCGCCGCAAGCACAACATCAACAACTGGGTTGTCAAGCCGCGGCCCCGCAACTTTGGGAAGCGGAGGTCCAAGTCGGGAGCGTGAACGGACGGCGGAGGGATCGTCTCCCTCCCGTCCGTCTGGAGGCTGATAACCCTCCATTCCAGTGCGGGTGATGCTCTCCTCGTGCCGGGGAAAGGGGAGTGACGCTTCTTGTATACCATTGTCGTTGTGATGCATGACGTTGACGGGGTGGCCTGCCCGTGTGTACTATAATATCTCGTACTGCTACTATCGCAACGTCCGGATTGGTCTCTTCTTCTTCTCTCTCTGTTTGATTACGTCCATGTCTTTCCTCCCCCTCGAGAGCTGGAGCTGGAGCTGCTGGAGCTGGAGCTGCTGCTGCTGTTGTTGTTGTTGTTGTTGGTGGTGGTGGTGGTCAACCAAGATTGTAGTGCGGCCAGCACTGCATCTACGAGCGTGTGCAAGCGACTGGGTGATGATGTATCGATACGTCTGATGCGATACTGCTCTGTGTATTACTAGCCTATACAATATATGCGCATACGTCTACGAGTAGCATGGATGACGATGATACCGACCTATGAACGGACAAGACTGGCAGCGCGACGATCGATATTACAGAACATACCCATGCTCGTAGAGCTTGTAGGGTAACCCGTCTCACCTCTGACATCTCGCCCCGTCTTCTTCTTTCGAAACTCTCCAGAACCTTTCCCCTTTTTTCCCTCTCTTCTCTCCCCCCTACGCTCTCAACCAACCCAGGATCCCGAGGACGCAGGACGCCGAGGACGCAGGACGCATTGATTTCCAAACAAACGTTTTTATCAACACTCGTAACCTAAAATGAAGTACCCGCATTTTATCAGCTGGTCGCGTGCCGTGACTGGCCGATTGCCGACATCTTTAAGCTCATGGATTTAAGTCTGTCGATCACCAATCACGTCTAGCCTCTAGGCTTCAGCAGGAGGGTCCTC